AAGACTTTAAAGAGGTTTTGAGACCAAAAAGTTCGGAACATTTCACATGAAGTAACAATTACCTGGTTTCATGTCATTTATGTAAGTTCTGCCCTTCATATTAGGGTCAGAAGTATTGCTTCAAAAGATCAAAGAAATGACATTTACCTGACATTGGCGGCGTAGAACAATGCAAGGATGTGCCAATACATTTTCTGTAAAGAGACTATATAAAAATAATTTATATATATGTATGTCTACATAGAGACAAATTAAATTTACAACATGTATCTTTCTGAAATTATTCTTGCCTGAAGAATCATGCATTACTTTGTTTTCCATTCTTAAAAAAATTAAACAGATCTTTAAAAATGTCTAGAAATGTTTGCAAATGATTCTACCCATAACAAAATTCAATATGAAATGAATGAAAACCAGATCTGCATACTAGTAAATAAGGGAAACAATACATAATACATAATAGTAATGTCTGTAGTGTAAGATGAAACTAGATCTCTGTTTGTTTAATGTGGGAAATGACACATCAGTTAAATGGCATTTAATGCTGCAAATTATTTCGTTCAGAAAATATCCAATGAACAACATTCCTATCAGCAGAGCCATTTGATCTTCATGAACCCCATTCTAAAAATGTTGGTTTTGATGCACTTCAATTATAAGGTTTAAGTATAAATTTAAGTATAAACCTTAAATTATAAGATTCTTAATGACCATGTTAATTGACTAATATTTATGTATCAAATTTCTGATTTGAGAATGTGCCCCACAAAACAATTACAGCTGTGGATTTCAGGTCTCAGAGTGACATATAAATACACGTACACACATATTTATATGTAATAATAGTCTATCAAATGAATCAAAGCTTTAAGTATAAATATTGAAGCAAAAAACAACTCCAGCAGAATGGAAAACACAGATTTTATTTATATTGACATTAACACCCTCGGGTTCAATAATGCAAATAAGGTATTTTTCTTGGTTAAAATGTTTAAAATGATAGTGATCATTATGGCATGAAATGTAAGCTTTGTGCAATTCCAATATTTTTGAAAATGGTTTTCACTAAGGATCACAATAATCAAGACTAAAGGCTTTTCTTAAAATGATCGTTAGATATTAAAAAAAAAAAATAAAGTAATGCTATCACCAAACGCTGATTATGAACACAATCTAGATGCTATGCTGCTAAATATCTTATAAGCATTAGAATGTTTAGAGAGAAGCCTCCATGCACAATTACTTTTTTGATGGGAGAGAGACAGATTACATTTCATTTTATTCTTTGGATAGACCCATGAAAAGAATGAAAACCAGATCTGCAAACAGGTAAGTAAGGGAAACAATACATAATATTAATATCTACAGTATAAAATTAAACTAGATCTCTATATGTTTGACGTGGGAAATGCCATGTCAATTACATGGCATCATTAAATGCCATGTAATTTTTATTTCTTTCAGAAAATGTCCTATGAACAAAGTTCCTGTCAGCAGAGTCATTTGATCTTCATGAACCCCATTCTAAATTACTTTTTTTGATGGGAGAGAGATAAGATTACACTTCATTTTATTCTTTGGACAGACCCATGAAAACAATTACAATACTCATTACAAAATTACTTTGTGTTTATAAAATTGGATGACTAGTCTATCCTTACTGGAAAAACTATCAAATTATATGTTTTAAATAATGATCATGCTTTTTTTTCTGCAAAATATTATTCAAAATTTAAGCTGCTGCTTCAAAGAAACAACCTAAAGGAAGCAATAATAATCATTTAATATTATAAATTAAAGAAAAACTCTAAATTAAATAAATAAAAGCTTTAAACGTCTTTAGATAAAACATTACCTTGCAAGTCCAATACCAAATCCAGCAAATCTATTCAGCTGTTCTAAAGTAAAAAAAAAAAAAAAGAAATAAAAAAATAAGATTACTGATAACCAATATTTAGGTTTAGTCTAAAAACAATTTTTAAACATTTATTTTATTAACCTGCTGTTCATTTAAACTTCAAAGTCAAATTCTGATGGGGCCAGGGAAATAATTTAAATGAATGAAGGACTCTGCTGGGGTTTGTGGCAAATTGCAAGGTGTACAGCCTTTAAAGCACAATTACTCTTTAACTCCAATTCATTGTTGCCACATGAGAGTGTGGGCCCAGGGTTTTGAAGCTGTAATTTTTTTCAAAAAAAGATATTCTCATTTTATAGAAAAGCTTCCAATTTTGAAGTCCTGGACAACTATTTCAGAAATTGTTAAAACACTGTCTGGGCCTAATGAAACAAATATGCAGACAGAACCTAAGGGCTAGCAGTTTTCAGCTTCTGATTCCAATCAAATAAAAAATTTTCTATGGTTGGCCACAGCTGATATTTTACCTACGACTTTACCTTCTATGCTGTAAAAACTAGTTATTCACTGTTACTGATGGAGAGCACTTTATTAAACCAATAACTGCAAGTAAAGCACCTCTAAATTATTAATTTGAAAGGGTACTTAGGGATAACCAAAATCGGTAAATACAGTTCTCTTCTTCCCCATCTCTTCAAGTTTTAAATAGTTTGAGGCTAGCTGTTTAATTAATCGGAGTAGGTTACTGGATATGTATGTGCTACTACAGATGGTATGTCTGTTGTGTTACTGGAAAAGTTCACAGCTGGAAACATTCCTATGCATATGTCAGAAGAGAAAAGCTTTCTTCCTGACTAAACTCAAAGTCATAGTGGTGAACTATTACAACCCCAGGGAACCAGACATTAAATTCTAACTATAATACAATATTCACAAATTACAATTCTTTCTTCTCTTTCAAATGAAGCAATTGCCCTCACTATTCCCTTTCAATCAGAACAAGGCCACCTAAGCATGTTCCTGGGAAACTACGCGGTTCACCCTAGAAAAATGTACAAGCTAAATAGAAAGCTTCTTTTACCTACCTAAGGCACTTTTTCCTTAGATTTTACCCTTTTGTTTTGTTTTGAGACGGAGTCTCGCTCTGTCGCCCAGGCTGGAATGCAGTGGTGGGATCTCAGCTCACTGCAAGCTCCGCCTCCTGGGTTCAGGCCATTCTCCTGCCGCAGCCTCCCGAGTAGCTGGGACTACAGACGCCCGCCACCACATCTGGCTAATTTATGGTTTCACCATGTTAGCCAGGATGGTCTTGATATCCTGACCTCGGGATCCGCCCTCCTAGGCCTCCCAAAGTGCTGGGATTACAGATGTGAGCCACCGCGCCCAACCTTACTCTTTTTATATGTATAGATCATCCCCAAACAGTAACAGAAAATGCTACTAACATTTTCTGGAAGGTGTTAGGAAGATTTACTATTGTTTACTGTGTAAATCTCTTTGGTGTCTAAGTTTGTTGCAAAATTAACATTCACACACCTCTTACGGCTGCAAAATTAACCCCTGGTTGTGTCAAGGAACTCTTCCTCATTGTAACCATCAAAGCATAACTTATGAAAAGATAAAAACATAAACTTTACTGCCTAAGAAGATAACTGTGTAGCAACGGTATATGCATTTTTGAATTATTTGATTTATAACTTGTAAAACCTTTCCAGTATTCTTCTGGACTAGTATTGGGACTAGTACGACACAACGGGAAAAAAGCAAAAAACAAAAAACAGCGAAGAGTCAAAAAGCTAATTGTATGACAATTAGCTAGGTAAGTCATCTATCCTTCTTCACATTCTCATTTACTCACTAGGCATTCGTTAAAGTCTATTCTTCCTAGTTGAATAAATATTATTTTATTTCCAAGTCAAAGTCGAGGAAATGAGAATAAAGCCGATATCTACAATAAATTTAATATTAAATAATACCATTAATCTATTATTCTAACAATTGCAGGAGAATAGAAAGAAGTAGCTATTATTCTTTATGAATAAAAAAGGATGTTGAAAATATGTACATTATGCAGTGTTGCAGCTTTTCTGATATCCCATAGAGAATAATTATGTCATGATTCCAAAGTCCTATCTTGAAATTGTATTCGTGTTTCTAACTTTTATATGTAGTTTTTAGGTCAGAAGAAAGAAAGCAGAAGGGAAAATTATAGGAAGGAAACTTTCTAGACTGGGGATCTGAAAAGCAGATAAAACTCCTGTGTTTAAAAAGGAAAAGGAAGGAAACTTTTTTTTTTTTTTGCCTATGTATCCCATACTGGATTCTTCTACACATCTTAAAGATGAGAAAACTGAGGGCTCACAGAGGTTAAGTTGTTCAGATTACGAGTGGCACAACCAAGTTTGAACCCAAATTTGCTTATGCTGAAAGGCTTCTCTCTTCAGAACACAAAACTACGAGTAAACACATTCATTAATTAATTAAATCGAGAAAATACAGCTGCCAAAGTTAATCAGGTAACAGTAAATAATCCAAACTCCTTTTTAACTCTGGCCATCAGTTGGGACACCAAAACCTCTAAAAATTCCTACTATGTACCCCATAGCTAAGGCAGATGTCTTTTTTGGAATTGATCCAGGAGAATTCGTTTGCGTGAGGAAGAGGGAGAAGGCCGGCTTCAGGGGCAGAGGACGAAGGAGGGCAAAGGGTGTGGCGCCCGATAGGATGAAAAGGAGCAGGAGGCGGGACCCTCTGCGCCGCTTCCGGGGTCTGCAGGCCTCAAGCCGCCGCCCCACTAACCCACCATCCCTGCGTCGGTCCCCGTGCTTCTCACCACTGCTCTGCCCCTGCACACCGCCGCCGCCGCCAGTGGAAAAGGGTTCTTCCGTGGGGCCTTCGTATGGGGTGGAGGTGGTGGGCACGCCGTAGGGGGGGCTCTTCTCGCCCCAGTGCAGGTTGCGGCTGCCGGGGATGTCTGGGGGAGTCGTCACCCAGTGGCCCAGGTCCGCCCCGGTGCTGAAGGACCTTGCAGGGAAAGCGCCGCCGAAGCCCTGCTCGTCCCGGGCACCGCCCCGGTAGCCCAAGCCATCAAATCCGTCCGGGCGCCGCGGATGCATTGCAGCGGGGGCAGGATGACGCGAGCCCGCCCGGAGCCCACCACCACCCGGGCCACCGCGACCTAAGACCACACAGTTTCCCCTAGGCAGCCGCCGCGTCTGGGGGATATTCTGACAACCGGAAGTCACGTTAGAAACCCGGAAGTCTTGGGAGCACGTGATTATAGCCTCTTCCGGCAACCATTAGTGGGCACGGTTGCTAGGGAGACACGGCGGTAACCTATAACTTAAAACTTTGTTGTCATTAGGGAATAGGTGGGAATATGGTTGTGGGATTAATGAAACACGGTACCAAAGAGATTCCAGAAAGAGAATTGGTGTAGGAATAGGGCCTACATGGGAGGAGGTCAAAGATGCTTCTTGGAGGGAGCCGATAACCCGCGAGTGGAGCTTACCCGGTGAGATCTCGGCCAGAAATACCTCATGTCACAGCTACGCCCCAGATCTCAGTGTATTCTCACGGGGCTGGTGCCTCACCTGCTCCGAGGAAGCTAGTAAAGGTTGGAGTTGTGGAGGGTTGGTAACCTTCTACCTAGCTTTGTCTCCCGCACTTGCGGTTTTGGATAAAATCTATTGAGAGATATGGTACCGCCCAGTGAGCGCGAAAGTGCTATGGACCACCAGAGCAAGCATTTTAAAAGTTCAGGTGAACGTCGGGGGAGAAGGAAACCCACGTACTCGAATACTGCCCTCGTGGAGTGAGGAATTACGGGTTTTACTTTTCTAAGGCTGTAAAGAAACTAGTTTTCTGTCGTATTTTTCCCGATGTATCTAAATCACTCAGGGTATTGAAATCCCAGTTGTATCTTTCAAAATCGGGACCTCTAATTAAATAACTGAGAAGAGTTCTGTAGAGGGTCCCCTACTACCTGTTTTCATTAGGTCCACGGGCTCTTGGGGCAGGCTCCCTCCTCAGATCTGAGGAAGCCTTCCATGGGTTCATCCTATGTTCCTTCAACTCGATGGACGCCCAGGATTCCTAGAGCTTTTCCAAGAGAACTCTGACGTGCTGTTCTCGACCTTCCAGATGCGAACCTTGATTGAAAGTGATAATCAGCTTTGTTTTGAGCGAAGTGACATTTTTGTTTACAGTTTTATCACTACTTTTATTTTTTGTGGGTATGTAATAGGTGTATATATTTATGGGTTACATGAGATATTTTGATACAGCATGCAATGTGTAATAATAACATTTGGGTAAATGGGATGTCCATCACCTGAAACATTTATCCTTTCTGTTGCAAACAATCCAATTACACTCTTCTTCGTTATTTAAAAATGTACAATTAACATTTTTAAATAACGAAGAAGAGTGTAATTGGAATGTTTGTACAATTAACATTTTTAAATAACGAATTGACATTCTTAAATTTGATTGCGATGCAGCATGGACAAAGGTGTTGAGTCTCTTGACAATACTCAAAGGTGTTGAGTATTACTGGTGTACTAATACCAAATTACTGGATAGTTAATATCAAACATAAAAAATATTTATCTATTCCTTTGGAATGATTGGCTCAAGGATGGTATTGTTTCAGGTCGTAAGCTATTTTTTTTAAGGAGAAAGGTAAGAAGGTCTAATTATGTCTGTACTTTTAATATAAAAACAGTGGCATCTCAGAATTTCACATCCATATGAGTGGAGAAAGGATGAATTATTGAACGGAGAGCAGCTGGGTAGCCAGTTGAGGGGGAAAGCAAGGCAATAAGAGCCCTACCTCACAGCTTACCCTGAAAGTAAAGCTGCAATATACTGTATTTTTCTTAAATTTTTAAAAATTAAATACTGGAAGAAAATAATATAGGCGAATGCCTTTTTTTTTGAGACAGAGTCTTGCTCTGTGGCCCAGGCTGGAGTGCAGTGGTGTGATCTCGGTTCACTGCAAGTTACACCTCCTGGGTTCACGCCATTCTCCTGCCTCAGCCTCCCGAGTAGCTGGGACTACAGGTGCCCGCCACCACGCCCGGCTAATTTTTTTTTTTTTTTTTTTTTTTTTTTTTTTTTTTTTTTTTTTTAGTAGAGACGGGGTTTCACCGTGTTAGCCAGGATGGTCTCGATCTCCTGACCTCATGGTCTGCCCGCCTTGGCCTCCCAAAGTGCTGGGATTACAGGTGTGAGCCGCTGCGCCCGGCGAGGTGGATGCCTTTTAAACAGTGAGTTGGAAAGTTTTCTAAGAGTACAGCAAAGTCAAAAGCCATGTAAGAAATCAGTAAAAGACTATAATCAATATGACTGTATAAAATTTAAATTTCTATGTAGTAAATTTTAAAATATATAGTAATTACAATTGAAAGGCAAATCACAAACTAAGAAAAATGACATTTTAACATGGTTTAAACAATGGATTAGTATCTTTAATGTACAAAGAGTTCATACCAATGAATAAAGGCAAATCAGAAATATGAGCAAAGGACATGTAGAGGCAATTCATGCAAAAAAAAAAAAAGGAAATGTAAATAGATAATATCATATAAAAATGTCCTTTACTAATCGAAAAAAAGGTAAATCTTAACAACAATTGTCTTTCACATATTAAGATGTTTAAAAGGGAAAAATCTTTCCAGGTTAGAAGAAAGTATCTTTCATTAATTTCTGAAGTGATATAAAACATAACTTTCTGATGGACAGCAGTTTGGCACTATGTATCAAAAACTGTAAAAATAACCATATTTTTTGACTCCAAAATCTTAGAAAACAAATATAGGGTTTTTTTTACATGTTTCTGGCATGGATAACATACATATGTTTATGGCATGATTGCTCATAATAGGAAAAAATAAGCAGGAATGCAACTATCAAATAATTATTTTTGATTAATAATTTATTATTAAAAGTATATATCCATAGAGTTGTTTAACCAAAATATATTTATTAAGCACCTATCTCGTGTCAGATACTATTTTAAGCAATGAGGCTAGAGTGATAAATAAGCCAGAAAAAGTGCTTGCATTGTTAGAACTGACATTCTAGTTTAGGGAGACAAATAACAGATAAATACATCCTGTCAAATATAGTGCCATGTCAAATAATGACATAATTATATTAAAAAAGCTTAAGTGAGCAATAAAGAAACCTTTTTTAGAATAAGGAAGTCCTCTTTGAAGAAGTGACCTTTGAGCAGAGAACTGAATGAAGTGAGAGAGTGACCCATCTGTGAATATGTGGGAGCCAGGCAGAGCTGAGCAGGAGAAAGGCCCTGATAGCAAACTAGGTAGCCAGTGAGAAAGGGTGAAAGTGATAGGAAATGAGAGCTGAAAGGGGGCTAGGTGCCAGATCTTGCAAAGCCTTGCCAGTGGTGAACAAAATTTAGGTTTTTTGAGAGTAGAGGAGTAATGTGACTATGTTGATATTTTATAGGAATGCGCCTGGCTTCTGTATGGGGAAGAGTAAAGGTTTCCACCTACTAAAGGCAAGCAGCTGAGGCAAAAGATAGTAATAATTTCATCTAGAGTGATAGTGTAATGGAGATGAGAAGAGTTCAGAGTGAAGACGTTTATAGATTACATTAGAGATGAATATTAAATGACATGAAAATATGTTCAATTTAAAACATGTACAGTATGATCTTCCTTTTAAAAATATTAACAGATACACAATAGAAGAATATGCTAAAATGATGTTATTATATCTGAGCATGGACTTGCATAGTTTCACTTTTTATTTGATTGCTCTAAAAAACTTAGCTTTTTTTCCTAAGAAGAAAAATTATTTTAGGAAAAAAAATAATAGAGCAAGTTTAGTTATGGGCAGACAGCAATAAAGATCTTTCTATATTACTAAATCTGTTCATATCATTTAATCAGTAGTCTCTAGAGCACTATGAAGCTCTATCATCCTGTATTTCTCCAAAATATTTCTGAAATAATTATGCTGAAATCGTCCAGACTTTATTGCTTCAAACTAGTTTGAGAAACTCATAACACAGGAATTAAAACATGCATTTATAAAGTGGCCAATGCATTTTATGAAAACAACAGAATGTTTGTGTTAGTTTCTATTGTGGCACAATAAATTGCCCCCATAACAAATTGAGCAGCTTAAAACAACATTTAATATCTCATAGTTTCTGTAATTTAAAAATTTCAGAGTGGCTTCACTGGATAGTTCTGTCTTAGGTTTTCCATGAGGTTCTAGTTAAGACTTCTACTTGGGATGCAGTCATTTTAGACTTGACTGGGTTTGATTAGGGCTGGAGGATCCCCTTCTAAGGTCTCTTACTCAGACAGCTGTAGAAAGAATGTCTTTATTTCTTGCTAATTGCTGTTAATGAGGTTTCAATTCCTTGCCACATGAAGTTCATAGAACATCTTGAGTGTCCTTATGATGTAACAACTCGGAGACAGACAGCAAGGAGGAAGCACAATGTCGTTTATGAGCTAATTACACCTCATCACTTCTGCCATGTTCTATTTTTTGGAAGAGGGTCACCAAGTCCAACCCCACACTAAAAGGGGAAGAGGATTTGACTCTATCTTTTGAAGGATTGTCAAACAATAGCATTTATATCATTAAAATGACTAAAATATTAAATCACTATATAACAATTAATGGGTAGAGGATATTATTAGGTGCCAAAACTAATAATGACATTTTTAGCCCAAATATTGACAGAATAAATTTTTTTACTTTTTTCCTTAGTAAATAGATATAAAGGATTAATTTTCCTTGAAAATAATATGATAGAAATACATATAACCTCCCAAAGAGCTTAATACATATTTTCAAAAGTCCAGTCATTATTATTGTTGAGTTGAAATACAAATGAAAACTAGCAGATTGTTTCAACAGTTTTCAAGAGTTGGCACAGAATGCTATGGTCCTACGAAACAAAAGTGCCTGTACAGAGCAAGCAAGTCATTCATTTATATTAACATTGTGATGGAAAATTCTGATGCTAAATAAATTCAGCTCACAGGATAAAATAAAAATTACCTATATTTTTTATTCAATAATTCACTCAGCAACATATATTAAGCATATACTATGTGTAAACCACTGCATTGGGTACTGTGATGCAACTATACACTATTTTATTTATATCTTTTTTAGAGACAGGGCATCACTGTGGTGCCAAGGCTGGTCTTGAACTCCTGGGCTCAAGCAATCTGCTCACCTCAGCCTCCCAAGGTGCTAGGATTACAGGAGTGAACCACTGCGCCTTGCCTGGTAAGTATTTTAAAAGGTGAAATTTAGTAATATTTTAAATATTTTACGTGTAAAATAACTTGAAATAAGCAATTTAAAAAATATCTTTCCAACAATAGAGGTGTTTTTGTTTTGTTTTGTTTTGTTTTTGTAAAATGATATGATATAACAATCCACTATGGTGCATTTGATCCTGATTACATTGCTAGGGAAGTTAGGCAAAGCACTTTAACATCTAAACACTTAATGGGACACACACAGTAAATGGAAGCAACTGAGAATATTTTAAATTGTGAATTGAGTATAAATTTTCTAAATTGCTGAGTTTATTCTTTTTCTACTTGATAGGCTATGCCATTTATGTTCAGAAGATGGTGATGCCCAAATTATTGGACTCAATTTTTCGTCCCTCTATCATAGTATTATACTGTATGTCCATACCCTTGTCATGGCCTTATGATGGGCAGAGTGGACTTTCCTGCCCTTTGTTTGGGGAGTTGGTAGAGTGATATCCTTGGGCAAAAAGTGTTAGCAGGTGTGACCCGAACAGAGGCTTTGCTCAGTTGGCTTGCCCTCTTGTGCTTCTGCCATAACCATGAGAAGCACCTCCTGAATAACCACTGCCCCTTCACTCTGGGCTCCTGAAGGAGATATTTGGAGCAGACCTGAACCCAGCTGGAAGTCTGGGGACAATCCCAGGTGAACCCAGCCAACATCAGCAAAATCCAGCCAACCTGCATGCAGAGGAGTGAATGAGAAAAGTAAATACTTGTATTTTAAACCACTAAGATTATTTTGGCGATAGGTGACCAACATGATGCTTTTGCAGAACTTTAATTGAATTTTATTTCTAAAATGTCCACTATAGGATTAAATACTATCATCACAAACATGTCAAATAACTGTGTAAGAGAAATTTTATCTTTTAGTAAGTTTTAAAATGCTGTGAAAATTAACCCATTGGTACAATAAATAATTTGAGTAAATGCAATATAAATTTCTTAAAATCTTGCTTTATCTTCTTTAACCTCTAGTAGATTTTTATAAGTTGAATGACCATTGTAATATCATTTGACTTTTTAAAAAAGTTTATTTTAGGTTCAAGGGTACATGTGCAGGTTTATTATGTAGCTAAATTTATGTCATAGGGGTTTGTTGTACAGGTTATTTCATCACCCAGGTACTAAGCCTAGTACCCAATAAGTTTTTTTTTTTTCTGATCCTCTCCTCCCACCCTTCACCCTCAAGTAGGCCTTAATGTCTGTTGTTCCCCTCTTTGTGTCTCTGTGTTCTCATCATTTAGCTTCCACTTTTAAGAGAGAACACGTGGTATTTAGTTTTCTGTTCCTGCGTTAGTTTGCTAAGGATAATGGCCTCCAGCTCCATCCATGTTCCTGCAAAGGACATGATCTTGTTCTTTTTTATGGCTGCATAGTACTCCATGGTGTACATGTACCATATTTATGGTCATTGATGGGCATTTAGGTTGATTCCATGCCTTTGCTATTGTGAATAGTGGTGCAATGAACATACATGTGCATGTGTCTTTATTGTAGAATGATTTATATTCCTTTGGTTATATACCTAGTAATGGGATTTCTGGGTCAAATGGTAGTTCTGATTTTAGCTCTTTGAGGAACCACCACACTGCTGTCAACAATGGCTGAACTAATTTATGCTTCCACCCAACAGTGTATAAGAGTTTGTTCCCTTTTCACTGCAAACCTCACCAGCATCTGTTGTTATTATTATTATTTTTTACTTGTTAATAATAGCCATTCTGACTGGCATGAGATGGTATCTCATTGTGGTTTTGATTTGCATTTCTCTGATGATCAGTGATGTTGAGTTTTTTTCATATACATGTATGTCTTCCTTTGAAAAGTTTCTGTTCATGTCCTTTGCCTATTATTCAATGAAATTGTTTGTTGTTTTCATATATATTTGTTTAAGTTCCTTATAGATACTGATATTAGACTTTTGTCAGGTACACAGTTTGCAAATATTTTCTCTCATTCTGTATGTTGTCTGTTTTCTCTATTATTATTTTACCTTTGATTATCTTTCCTTTCTCTTTTTGACAGATAAAAATTTCAGATACTGTTCCATTTATTCCCAATAGCACTTAAAAATACTAATGAAAACTCTAAATATTTGGCAAAATGAAGAGGGGTATCTGATATGGTTTAGTTGTGTCCCCATCCAAATCTCAACTTGAATTGTATCTCCCAGAATTCACACATGTTGTGGGAGGGACCCAGGGGGAGGTAATTGTATCATGGGGGCTGGTGGTTCCCATGCTATTCTCTTGATAGTGAATAAGTCTCACAAAATCTGATGGGTTTATCAGGGGTTTCTGCTTTTTCTTCTGCCTCATTTTTCTCTTGGCACTGTCATGTAAGAAGTGCCTTTTACCTCCTGCCATGATTCTGAGGCCTCCCCAGCCATGTGGAACTGTAAGTCCAATTAAACCACTTTTGTTCCCAGTTTTGGGTATGTCTTTATCAGCAGCATGAAAATGAGCTAATATAGTAAATTGGTACAAACAGAGTAGGATGTTGCTGAAAAGATACCCAAAAATGTGGAAGCGACTTTGGAACTGGGTAATAGGCAGAAGATGGAATAGTTTGGAGGGCTCAGAAGAAGACAGGAAAACATGGGAAAGTTTGGAACTTCTTAGAGACTTGTCAATGGCTTTGACAAAATGTTGATAGTGATATGAACAATAAGGTCCACGCTGAGGTGGTCTCAGATGAAGATGAGGAACTTGTTGGGAACTGGGGCAAAGATGACTCTTGTTATGTTTCAGGAGAGACTAGTGGCATTTTGCCTTTGCCCTAGAGATGTGTGGAACTTTGAACTTGAGAGAGATGATTTAGGGTATCTAGTGGAAGAAATTTCTAGGCAGCAAGGCATTCAAAAGGTGACTTGGGTGTTGTCAAAAGCATTCAATTTTAAAAGGGAAACAGAGCATAAAAGTTCACAAAATTTGCAGCCTGATGATGCAGTAGAAAAGAAAAACCCATTTTTTTTTTTAGGAGAAATTCAAGCTGGCCACAGAAATTTGCACAAGAAGCAAGGAGCTTAATGTTAATCCCCAAGACCATAGGGAAAATGTCTGCAGGCCATGTTGGAGACTTTCACGGATCTCCTCCCATCACAGGCCTACAGGCCTAGGAGGAAAAACTGGTTTTGTGGACTGGCTCCAGGGTCCCTATGCTGTGTGCAGCCTAGGGACTTGGTGTCCTTGTCCCACTGTTCCAGCCATGGCTGAAAGGGGCCAATGTAGAGCTTGGGCTGTGGCTTCAGAGGGTAGAAGCCCAAAGTCTTAGCACTTCCATGTGGTGTTGAGCTTGCAGGTGTGCAGAAGTCAAGAATTGAGGTTTGGCAACCACTGCCTAGATTTCAGAAGATGTATGGAAACACCCGGGTGCCCAGGCTAAAGTTTGCTGCAGGGGTGAGTCCCTCATGGAGAACCCCTGCTAGGGCAATGTGGAAGGGAAAGGTAGGGCAAGAGCCCTACTGGGGTACTGACTATTGGAGCTATGAGAATAGGGCCACCATCCTCCAGACCCTAGAATGGTAGGTCCACCAACAGCTTGCACTGTGCACCTGGAATAGCTGCAGACATTCAATGCCAGCCCATGAAAGCAGCCAGGAGGGAGGCTGTAACCTGCACAGTCACAGGGGTGGAGCTGCCGAAGACCATGACCCGGAGGTGAGACCTGGAATCAAAGGAGATCATTCTGTAGCTTTAAAATTTGACTGCCCCACTGGATTTCAGACTTCATGGCCCTGTAACCCCTTTGTTTTGGCCAATTTCTCCCATTTGGAATAGCTGTATTTACCCAATACCTGAACCCCCTTTGTATCTAGGAAGTAACTAGCTTGCTTTTGATTTTACAGGCTTATAGGCATAAGGGACTTGTCTTGTCTTAGATGAGACTTTGGACTGTGGACTTTTCAGTTAATGCTGAAATGAGTTAAGATTTTGAGGTACTGTTGGGAAGGCATGATTGGTTTTTAGATGTGAGGAAATGAGATTTGGAGGGGCCAGGGGCAGAATGATCTGGTTTGGCTGTGTCTCCACCCAAATCTCAACTTAAATTTTATCTCCCAGAATTCCCATGTGTTGTGGGAGGGACCCGGGGGAGGTAATTGAATCATGGAGGCCGGTCTTTCTGGTGCTATTCTCATGATGGTGAGTAAGTCTCACAAGATCTTTATCAGGGGTTTCCGCTTTTGCTTCCTCCTCATTTTTCTCTTGCTCCCACCATGTAAGAAGTGCTTTTCACCTCCCACCATGATTCTGAGGCCTCCCCAGCCATGTGGAACTATAAGTCCAATTAAACCTCATTTTGTTCCCAATTTTGGGTATGTATTAGCAGCATGAAAACAAACTAATATGGTATCGAATAGAAATTATTTACAATTAAGTTATACACTACATGGCAAATCTAAATGATATCACATAATATCAAAAATAGTAAGAAATTGTCATCTAGAAAGTTGTTAAATTACAAAATCAATATTAATTCTAATGCAACAGTTCAAACTGATAAATATTTTTTCATGGCTGTAGTTTTTTCCTATGATTCACTTTTGATGTCAGATTGTTTTCCCTGGAAAATCAATTCTAATCTAGGAAGGTAATTGCAGTATTATGGACTAATTTGAATCATGGCAGTGAAGATGCTAAGAGCCTTGATTCTAAGCAACTGAAGGACTGAAGCTTAAGGTTTGAGAAATATGATTGAAGAAAATATAATGCATATTTTAAATTGCTTAACTTACTAGTAGTTTCATCTCTTTCCTGACTTTTTAATGAGTACTCACTAAGTAGATTTCTCTAGGTAAAATTTTGATAAGTGCTATGTAAGAGTACTCAGAATGCTAGGGAAACATTGAAGGATGACTTCTAAGTTATCCTGAAAGAGAGAATGGTCATTGTGTTGGAAGGCTTCTAAAATGCAGTGTCTTCCAAGGTGAATGTGTCACTTTGGTTGAAGATAACAGAAACTCAATTTGTTAAACAGGAGATTTATTGACAGGATAATCAGGGTTTATAGAATTGATGGAAGGCTGTAAGATGAGGATTGAAATGGACAGAAAAAAAAATGCTGTTCTAGAGGACCAAGAAGTAGGAGGTACCACAACTGTCTTTTGGCAGGAAAATCTGTAAGGGTGCTGCTGTCTTTGCCCAGGGCACCATTATTGCTACTTTCATCTTGATATTATTTGCTAAAAATTCAAAATCTTAAACTAGAACACATACTTGGCCAAGCTTCTGTCATATTCCAACACAGAGTTCTGAGAAAATGTGATCTGCCGTTTTTGACTTTTGTAGTGGACGATGAAACACCACTTCCCATTCGTATTACAAGAAGAATTCCCCAGGTAGCATGGAAGGGTGATTGGATTCTCCAGATCCAAAATGTTGACAAATATCTAACACCCAAGTCTTGATACGAGAGTAAGCATTTACCTGGTGTCTGGTATTAGGGAGCAGAGGGTGGTGTGTGTTTGTGTGAGTTTGTGGCAGCAGTTGAGGAGTGAGTGGGCAAGTGTATTTTCAGACAGAGGAAGAGCATGCATGAAGTTATTAAGAAAGGAGAGCTCATGATGTGTTTAGGAAACTTAAAAGATTGCTATGAGAGAACTGTGGAATTTAAAAATATTTTTTAATTGATTACATGGCAGTGGTAAAAGTTTTAAAAATAAAGAAGATTGGGCCGGGCACAGCCTTTAATCCCAGCACTTTGGGAGGCCCAGGTGGGTCAATCACCTGAGGTGGGGAGTTTGAGAGCAGCCAGGCCAACATGGTGAAACCCTGTCTCTACTAAAAATACAAAAATTAGCTGGGCGCGGCGGCAGGCACCTGTAATCCCAGCTACTCGGGAGGCTGAGGCAGGAGAATCGCTTGAACCTAGGAGGTGGAGGTTGCCGTGAGCCGAGATCGCTCCATTGCACTCCAGCCTGGGGGACAAGAGCGAGACTTCATCTAAAA